CTAGTCGTTGTTCTTGCATTAACATTCATGATAAGAAGATTTTTTGTCCCCAAACCGACGTGATAGGGTTTGTCTTCGCATCTTCTTGCAGTTTTGCAGTTAAAAAATGTCTAATCGATTTCTAAACAGTGTGTGGAGAAGTCGTAGTCTCTGACTTTTGTTGTGGAATGCTGTAGTACCAAAGTACATATAACAATCTTGTTAGTAAGCAGGTATAGGTTTCAGCTGGGTAACTGGATGTGAAAAGAAGCGATCACGCTGGCTTAGGGGTGTGTAAGAGCTCCGCAGGTTTTATCGACGAAGGGAGTCGGGAGAAGAGCTGATTGTGAGATGGAGTTTGTTCGGACGAGTTCAGGCTTGCAAGGAGAGGCCGCTCGTTATCCATGGCGCGGATATCTATGATTAGTGAGCGAGAGCGACAACTTTTACATGTCAGCCATGCAGCCGTTGCCACTCTTTCTACGTCCATAAAGTGGATTGGCAAGAGTTCTGGAGTTGAAAAGCTCTTTTCCATTGCATGGTCACGTCGTTTATAACGCCATTGTCCTAGAAGCGCCACCTATCGTCTTATTCGATGGGTCTCGTACCTGATGAGACGGTAACTGGCACTAGGTCTCCTAACTAAGGTGGGATAGGTGGCGCGGGGGTTCTCCTATGCACCTCTCCCTTTCTTTTTCACGGAATTTTTGGCGACCGCTTCCGTGAAAAGAGCGCGCAAAAGATCCGCGTTATCTCCTAGTTTTGTCGTACATCATATTTGTCCACCGGCAATCCGCGGAACCTCTTTCTGTGTATGTCTTGCGCATCCGTTATGCTGTATTCCACTTGTTAGCTGAACAACTCGTGCAGGGGATGCCTGCCGAAAAGAATGTACTGTACGGTAAATAGATTTATAGCAATCATGACTCACGCAAGAATTATATCTTACCATTGCTTCGTCCTTTAGGTTTGTTGAACGTTTGTTCACCTTCCCTCCGCTACCTCCAATCCCCTCCCCCTCTCTTTGATACCCTGCAAGAGTGTAGTTGCTAAGCTGCCAACCATGATTAACAGCAATTTTTATCAGGCCGACCCGGTGCTTTCACCTTCTTCAGAGGTTTCAAAGGTGCTGATCAGAGAAATTTACATGCCATCTGTACGACCGTTGACTAAATGAAGACTAGACAGCATGGAACAAGTCAGTAGAGACCAGGAGGGAGAGAAACCAACCATAACAGAGCCGAGTTTGGAATCAATGTTGAGGTGTCATACGTGAGGTCATGGATTTCGTTAAGATCCTCTATTGTGCAAGATATCCTTTGTGCCTTTTTTTCACGAAAGCGGGAAGAGCAAGTGGAAGTCGTCAAGTACCAAGTATCGCAACCCGAGGGCTCCCGCGTAATGAGCTTCCGACGGCTACGGAAGAAAGCTGGTATTCCATAAGATGCCGTTCAAAGGTTGCGCAGAAATTGTTTTGCGTCCAGAAGTTTTAGGGATTTACACAATTTTTACAGTTTACTTAACCGATGATAGTATTTCTGAAACTCACTTGAAGAGAGGGCTACCATTCCTGGAAAGAAGCGAATGAGGGCATTGTGACGATTGAAGGTTTTCAAACCCCTTGGTTGTCGCTGGAACCATCTGGTCGACGGACTTCTTGCACTCGGCCCTTTAAGCTGCCTCACTGGCCGGACGCATAGTCGGTCGGACGACAGCAACGACTGCAAGTGTCGCACAGCATTGGGTGCGTATCGATCTGCGACACCTGCGACACTTACGACCGCTGCTGTCGGACGACAGCAACGACCGCAAGTGTCGCATAAACCGCGGTTGCAAATGGAAGGCGACGCGGTAAGTGTCGTAGATCAATACGCAGCTACTATTCCACACTACAGTGGGACTTTCGAAATACGATCACGCGCAGTCACGTGTTGTCTGGGTTAGCATTGGGTGACCGCGTCGCCTTCCATTTGCAACCGCGGTTTATGCGACACTTGCGGTCGTTGCTGTCGTCCGACCGACTATGCGTCCGGCCTATGCGATGTCATACGTTGCGTATTGGATGCGATTTTGCACCAATTCAGGCAGCAACGACTTCGCCTCCAAAGTCGCGAACGACGGCGAGGGCAGATCTGTACACGAGCGGGCGTGGTAATCGGTCGTCACGCGAGGTACATCCGTCGCGCTCGGGTGCAAAATTCTCTCAATCGCAAAATCTGACAATTCGGCCACTCGACGCTTTCGTCTGCGCTCTCTCACCTTATCAGCGGCTGATCACCACTGCGATCTCACACATTCAAACTTTTGCCACAATGCAACTGGCTCACCCACCTCGGATTCCCTCCCCCTTACAAGGCTTAGTCCTAAGGCTCTCACCTCCCTCCTTGGGATTTGGAGCCGAGCCAGGCGCCATTCTCTGATCGTCTGTGCTCTCCGCCATTCGTGGCAGGACCATGGACGAAAGTGCAAGTAGTCCGTAAACGGCTGGCGCAGCCCACGACGGGAATAATAGTAATTGGTAGTACATGTTTTGCAACGGATACGCTTCTTGCGTATCCGTTGCAAAACATGTACTATTCTTGGTTCTGCTCAAGCTCTATTGTATCCCTGAAGGTATCTGAATTCGGGCCCAAGAAGGCCAGCAATAACATGAAGTAAATAGAGTGGGGAGACACCGAGTTCAGAAACGGTCCTTAAAATGAAAATTCATCGGAGATTGCGTTCGGGTGTAGCCATACTGACCACACTACGCAAGAGCTTTGAATGCACTAGCATCGTGTTGTTTGAAGTACTTTTAAGTGCTGTTTGAATGTAGTACATTGGTTTTTAAAGTACGTAGCAATTGTAGGCGCAGGCATTACGTTCCTCCCTGACTTACTCTGTTTTTGTAAGTTTCTTCAGCTACCTGACTGTGAGTTTTCCAGATGGATGGCGAAGTTACCGGAATCATGAATGAGATTGTTGACCACGTTTCGCTTTGGGGCAATCCTTCTACAGTCGAGGTGACTTCCGCCACAGTTTATCTCTACTAGATCTTGTAACTTAATTGTAATAAGATTAATTACCTTTGTGCTTTTGTATTCAGATGGGTTTCTACACATTAGACTATCGGAGAGCTCCTTCAATGGCCTCAGCTCCATCTACGAGTGGAAGTGAATTCGGCGATATAAGTGACAGTGAACTGCCTGTTCTTGAGAGCGATGACGATTCGGACGAGGAATTTGAGAAGTTTGTTATCATTTTCAGCACCCTCTTATAGTAGTGTGGTTGTTGGCTGGCAGAGTTATAATGTTCCGTGTAGGCTGGCTTTGATTCTTGGGGCTTCTGGCTTCGTCATTCGCTAATAAGAGGAGTGGTAAAAAGTTCAGGGGCCATATTCTATCCTTCGTCTGGGGAACTGATTCTATCAGCTACTTGGGAGATACAGGGTCGTGTAACAGGACCCGTCTTGAGTGCGTGAAGTTGTAGGTACCCTCCCCCATTGAGGTACACTTTCTGGGGGTTCGCGCTGTCTGGAGTCTACAAACGCAGCGTATGGCTAGTTCTATGAAGCATCCCTGTCTCCCCCAGGCTGAGGATAGAATCAGCAGCAGGGGACGCGTCTTCCAGGAGGAAGGATGATACGGCCCCAGACAATGAGATCTAACAAACTGTGCTAATCCCACAGGTTGTACACACGGTGACGGGGCAATTTCGTCCTCGAAGATGTGATACGAAGGGCTTATTGAAGCAACCTAATGTTTGTATTGCCAAGAGGGCGATATTTAAGCTCCAGATAGATCACTCATCAGTGGCTTGAGTGTATGCATTGATCAGCATTTATTCAGTAAACATTAACTTAGTAGGATAATATTTTAGGCTGCAGAGTTTGTCTTGCGAGTTGCGTCAGAAAACATTCGAAAAAGAACATCCTGACGGAGTGCCTAAGCAGAAGAGGGTGAAAGTTGAGAAAGTAATAGACAAAAGCGACTTGGAGCATGAGTGAGTTCCTTTTAGATAGATTTGCTTATGGCGATGCTAGGTGTAAATCGCTAGAACAGAAAGCAAGTTCTCGGCTTTTTGCAGCGCAGAAGATCCTCGCTGCAGGAATTCCAGGTCCACCTCTCATCACGCGTGGGCCTGGGGTTCCGCATCGAAAAGGTTTCAGCTGCGAAAAGCGGAAAGTTTTCCTTGTCCTAGCAAGCTTCATCTGCGACGTTGTCATATTCGGCTATTTTTCTTCCTGTGACAGCATTCACGTCAAAAATTGTCACCTCGGAACCGATGTGCATCGTTTCAGATACGATAAGTTACCACCACTGGAAAATCTAACAATACATTGTGCGAAATCTCTACCGCTAGAACCAGTGGGGCATGTGTCATCTATCGTTGACTGCTTGGGTATGTTTCTAAATATTTTTTGTTCTCTTAGAAGAGAGCAATTGAGATCCGAGTTCAAATGTGTCGATTCGGCGTACTTTGAGTAATCGTCATGCTGAATATTCTTTCAGTTGTTATCCAATCTGACAGCGGCGTTGCGTTGGATTTCGATTCCGTATTGTTTGACGAGGTGAAGTGAGAAACCATTGTTGTTAACACCCTTCGCCACTATTTGTTTTTACCTCTTTAGGATCGAAATTCTGTGGGAGTGGTGTACGATCTATTCGGTCCTGTGAGGAGTCCTTTTTACTCTGTGCGATTCAACACAAAAGAAGAGGTGAATTTGTTCATACAGCGGGATCTCTATAACAACTCATCTATGAAATTTAAAGGCTGCCGCGAAAATGTGCGTCGGAATGCAGGTTTACTACGCTCCCACAGCAGAACAATACACCAAGACTGTGATAGATAACCAGCAAACAAGGTGCTTACGTTTGCATAGACATGTTTTTTCAATGTTCCCTTTTGAATCTTGTGTTAGTTCCACATAGTGTGCCCCACGATCAGTGCGGTTTCCAAAATGCTCGCTGCTTTCATCAAATGGGCGTGAGCAATTTCACAAAAAAATAGAGCTATACGTTAAGCGGATTAGCAGAAATCGCGCCAAAAGCGCCGAATAATTATGAATCAAACCAATATGACCTTTTCATTTCAGCAAAGTTCCATCAGATGTTGTTTCGTCCGAGGACGAGCCTGTCTTCAGTGATGATGAAAAGGAACAAGAATATTACAGACAAAAGGCGGCATCGGCGAAGCGTCCAGGTTTGCTTTTTTCCTCGCAGCATATGTGTCTATGTATTGAATAACATAAGATCGAATAACAATTTCAGAGAATCAAAGTCAAAGGCGAGGTCAGAAGCGTAGCGTTCATTTTTCCGACTGCCCCACTGATCGAGGAAGAGGTTTGTTGTGGTAGCTCTCACGAAGCTTATAGTGCAAGCGCATGACGAAACAAGTGTCTTTTCAGGAGGAAACCGAGGACATCGTGGGCGAGGTTCCGCTCGCGGAGGTTCGTGGAACTGGCATAGTGAACGTGGCGGTCGTCCAAGGTTTGTCCCGTTCGCAGATAGTCTTGCTCTGTTCTATACTTGCAATAGAGTAGGATAAGATATTTCTATTCCAGAGGTCATGGTCCTCCTAGAGGAAGAGGGCGCGCGAACAGTCATCCGATGGGGCAGACTCCAGTGACAAACATGAGTAACCCTTATGCAGAGTATGGGTGTTATGGTCCTTTACCATTTGTCGATACTAGGCAACTTTGATAACAACCAGTGTGTGTTTTTGGGCCTTTATGCCTTATCAGACTTCACAGACTTCGTATTGGGTTGTTGCCTTATGAATGTCGCTCGTTTCCACTTTTCTCCCTCTCATCTGCTTTGGAAACTGGCAGGGAAAGTGCACTCTTGAGGAAGAGAAATCTCGGAGTGTCGACCAATGATCACTCCATCTCGAGCCTCCTTATTTCTTCATTAGCCTCAAAAGACCGCTGAACAAAAAGTTTTTGAATACGAGGGTGTGTGTACACCGACTTCAAAAAGGGAGATTAGCCGCTAAATGTCATCGCAGCTTGTGCACAACCTTTGCAGGAAGCGTGGTATCCAAACGCCAATCGCGCAGGTGGTTTCAGTTCTCGTTTTTTTTTTCGGGAAGAGTTAACGCTTTCAAAGAAGAAAAACCTGCGGTAGAGAAAGATGTCGGGTTTATACTTTGCGGAAACCTGCGGTGAACTTCGATGTTAATTTCTATAAGCATTTGCTTGTCATCTGTATGGCGAACCGCCATGATAACTGGGTCGAAATGCCATTCGTTTCGCAACAACCTTGTGATTACCTTCCAGTTTTTGAAGAACAAGCAACTCTGTTTTGTTGATAGGACACTTCGGTATAACTCATTCCGAAGTTACGGTCTTCCTATTCCACCCCCTCCCCCCTCTCCCTCCCCAGTATGCCTAGCGACTGGTTTTACCTCATATTAGCACGTAGTTACTCGTATGTTAGTCTGAACTGAATAGCAGTGCGTGGTTCTGCGCAAAATTTATACGCTTACTTCATTCTCTGTATTGATGAAGCATCTCTGTAGAAAATCGAGGAAAGTGAGACGAGATGTCTTGTTGGAAATCGATGAATAGCCAAGAATCGTTTATGAATTTTTTAGAGAATTATTTAAATCCGCTTCTTTGCTTGTTATTATTCTTTCTCTTCGAAAAACATATTTTACCTAGTTGCACATGATCGTTACTTGTTGTTATGTTGTGTACAGTTGTTTTGTGGTCTGTTTCAAACATACTCGTTTTACGGTAAACCAGTTTATGGTGCTCAAATGTGAGGTTATAGTGTAAGTATATTCTCTTTGAAAACAGCTGTCGTAGCAAAAGGATACGTTTTGTGTGCTAGCTTCGCTCCTGAAAAAAAAACTACGTTAAGGTTCAAATATGGGATGAGTGAGCGTTCAACTGCGGTCACAGGCGACTCTACACAGTGAAATGTACATGCATGCGCATAAAAACCTCCTCTTTGTGACGCCAGTCGCCATTCGCCTAGTATGACCGCAACATCGTCGGTCGTCGCGTTGCATGCTTGTAAGAACAATGCAAGCAATCAAGTCTACAACAACCCATGTGATTAACTCGTTTTCTAGACCCTTGGTTTCAGCACTGGGAACAAATGCCATTAAATGTTTTTGGGTCTGATATGGTTTATGCCTCAGATGAGGAATAATGTACTTACTGGTAAGAGGTTTTCTAGATGCAGCGGATTCTGAAATTGACAAAGCAGTATTTATTTCTTCACGTGGTCCCTCCCATTCATAGCGGTCGAGAAATGAGCCTTGTACACGTTTCAGTCCAGACATACACTAAAATGAAACTATAACAGGAACGCTAGTGGTAACCGATTTTAGGGAAACCTAGGGGAGGTTGGTAACCGATTTCAGGGAAAAAGCTGAGATTACGTTTCATCAGATTCTGCCAGGGACCACAACCTAAGACGCACCCACTAGCCGCTTATTTGCCTTTCGCGCTGCTTATGAAGAGTGTGTCACTGTATAGATACATCGTGTAGTGGCGGATTAGCTGGTCGTGTGGGCGTCCTGTTAGTGGAGCTAGGCGGGTCGGTTCCTTAGTCATGTTGGGCATGCCAAAAAAGCCTTGCGTTGTACGCTGCGACCAGGCGTACTCAGTCCGAATTGGCGTTTGCGCCTTCTTGGTCGACGTTTTTCTCTCTTCCCGTTTATATCCAGCAAGCTTCTGTCTCTCCCTTACACCACGCTGACTGTTCATGAGAGAATTGCAGTTTTTCTATCGGTGCCGGTTTTTGCTTTTCAATTTCGCACTTTGTAATTTCGCACAATGAATACCCAATCGATTTGCCTTGTCTTGTAGTTTATGTTATACTAACGCTTTGATGAGATGTGGGCCCCCCCATCCTTATTGATTGTTCGTCGTTTCGTCTGTACACAATTGGGTTTATGATGAGTATATCTTGTAGCCGGAACGCGGTTCCACACGCTTCTGCAATTTCAAGTGAAGGGCGAATGCGTGGCGCACTCCAGAAAGAAGCTGGGTTGTAGCGTGCTTCATTCATTTGGTTTATGAAGATTATGTGCGACAGGAAGTATTTCGTTTTCTTATTTGTGAAATTTTCCACAGCATTCATGAAAATGTTGGATTTGTTAAGTGTGAAGTTAAAGGGTTTATTCCTCACCTCAACGCAATTAGTGCTTCAAAGATAGCACTGATGCGAAATGAACCGCTCGTGAAGAGAGGATCAGGAGCCATCGAAGTTAGGTCCTCCTGCTTTAGTTTGGATGAATTCTACACAGAGAAGCTGGGCGCTGGAGGAAGAATGCAGGGGAGAGCATGGGAAACGAGCGAGACGCAGACACTCTGATGCGTAGGCCGTTGCATCGAGAACAACCTCGCGAGCCCATTCTATGTGAGAGGTGCATGAAACACCAACAACAACACCCCCCCCCTTGTCCGCATTTTAATTGAGGTGCGATAAACAGACACATCTGCATCCGTTTGTGGATACTTATATCCGATTTGGAGAAGGGGTTGGTTCATCTCGACTCATGAAAAGTCTGCCTTCAAAGGAATGATTTTTTACAGAACTAGTGTTCAGACTCAGTTGTTCCAAGTTCCAGGAGAGGTATTTGCGTTTTTCAGAAAGAAAGAGTCAAAGTGGTGGAGGTTTTGGCGGTGTTCTTGGTTGCGTCGTAGAGGGGGGGGACGGATTGCCTGTTTTGGCGTTTTCTTCGACAATTGCTAACGCAAATTCACAAGTTTTTTCAGAAAAATAATGTAAATGGCAGAATAAAAGCGGCGTATCACTCGACGGCAGTTTGGGAAGTAAATTTGGGCGCAGCTGGAGTGTGGCGAGTGGCCTCCGGGTCACACTTCTTCATAGAAATCTGGTGTTGAGGATCGTTTTTGAAGACTTTTAGAGGGTTGTATATTTGGACGGCTGATTTGGGATGATGCAGCGTTGAGCTTCGTAGTAGAGAAAGAAAAGAAAAAAAGTCGCTTCCGAAAATCTTCACAAAGGACGGTGATCGCTGGGGGTTTCAAGAGCCATTTCATGTGACTAACCTCACTAAAAAGTCCATGATAGTCTGGCCGATCTTCATACTTCAACGTTTCTAAGTAACTCGCGTATCTTATAAAATTCATCTGGACAAGTCTAAAAAGGCAACGACCGTCTGATAATATGTTTTTAATATGCTATCGATTATACTAGCTACTTACTCGTATAACTCCTTTGGTGTGATCTTTTCTTTTTGAGCGAGTATGGCTTTTTCATCATTTATACGATTCCACGGCAGCCCAATGTGAAGCTCGATGAGCATATGAAGCCATGACCACAAGTCGTCAACCCGACCCTGCCATATGATTTTTCCTTTTATTTCAGTCCATGAAGAGGAAATACGGGTAGGCCTCCTACCTGCTCTTTTCTATAGTGAGTATTCAGACTACAGTATCTCGGAGTGCCTCGGAAAGCTGATCGCCGTCACGTGGCTTTCGAATAAGCAAGCTTGCCGTTTTCGTCCTTGGCGACGAATGAGCGTGCCATACCTAAGGTATTTTGAATTCCTGTAGTTCCCAAGTCTACATTGGGAGTAGGGAAATGGCAAGTGGTGCCATTGCATATATGCACCAGCGATTCAATCCCTGATGATTCCATCGTAGGGGTAACCCAGTCTTCCATGGCTTCGAGATAGGAGATTCGGATGCCGATCAGTGTGAGAGGATGAAGACGTCCCGCATTCGTGGCTTACCAATCAGGTGAAGGGATAAATAGCGCGCTCTGTATCAAAAATGTGAAAATTGAGTCTAAAGGCAGCGGATTACGATAAATTTCAAGAAGGGTTTAGTGTGACGTGGTGGTGCTCAATGGTACGCCAGTGGCGAAAAAAGCAGAAAAATCCGTCAAGAAAACGCAAAACGGGACCCCTTTTTTGGCCGTTGGTTTTCACTCATCAACAGGTAACAGCTCATAAAGTGGAGTTATGAACGAATTCACCGCAACGCGTTTGACGGCACCGTTGCCAAATCAAGCTTTAATCGAGATGCTCCATTTGACCCGTTGTTGGCCAAGCAGATCGTTTAAACCAACAAGTAAACTGGTGGGCGGGTCGCTTTTTTTGGGGGCGAAGTGCTTTCGAAGTCCTGCTCAGCAACCAGCGCACGTTTCGTTGTGAAAGCGCCACACTTCGCCTCCTTGGCAGCCAAGTAACTGCTTCATGTGGTGCATATGTTTCCCCGATGCGCTCCCTCTTTATCGTAATCGCTTCCTTTACCTAAATAACCATACTCAAAAGATCCGAGATGGGCCTTTTCAGAGGTAGCGGGACCGTGATAGTAGGCATTACAATCTGACCTGTGCGCCGAAACGCAATTACAAAGTCCTGAGGCGAACTTTGGGAGACCGTTTCCTTCTACAAATTCTGTTTACAAAGAGATTTAGTGAACTAGGCGGAAGAAAGCGTCCGAGAACATTGCGTTCAACCACTTCTGGCAAAGTCCGAATCAGTTAAGCGGCCCTTAGAGAATGGGATTGATCTGGGCGTCGTCACGCATCTCTGCGGCACTTGCCACTGCCCAATCTTACCCCATTGGGATCCTATAAGCGCATGACTACGGCTGAGCTCTTGGCTCATCATTTCACATGTTGTAAGTAGAAGACGAAATTTATCGATCAAAGGTAAAAGGATTAATTGATGCGGTTACCGAAGTCAATCAGATATATCATTCGTGAATCGCGTCCATATTTTCCTATCATACAGTTTCCTGGCTTAATATCCCGATGAACATAACCAATTTCGTGGACCTAAAGTGTTCGAATGTGAAGAACTATAAATTTGGAATGTCACACCTACTGGCTTGAAATAGCGAAAGATCTTCTTTTCAAAACCGGGTACGAATATCTCCGAATCCTTTAGTCGGGGCCAGTAACTGAATGTCCCATGGGCTGGATCGTCGTACTGGTGAGCTTATCGAAAGCAATCCCAGGATAGCTATCGATTGCATTCGTTTGTTTGAATGGCTATTTCGATTTTGTATACACTAAATCGCGAATTGAGTTTGGAAAAGTGTTCCACAAACCCCAACACCTTGGAAAAGTTGGATTCTCAGCTTGAAAAGCTGATGATTTCGATACAAATGACGGGCTGAGAACCTTCCGCTTTACGACATAGTGATGAATTTATGCAAGGTAACGGCCAGGAGTATGCGCTCTCTCATACGACATGGTCCTTCTCATATTCCTTGTACCCGGCGCGCTGTCTCTCGGTCGTCCCACGATCAACCTCACAAGGAGAGGCCATCACATCCACGACTTCTTTTTCAATTTTTTTCCTGCTCTGAGGTTGTCTTCTCACCTTGGCTTTTATATTTTTCAGCAAAGTCACCACAATTTGAGATGGCATAATGTCCCTTTGAAAGCATGGTCTGGTATCAGGTTACTGGATTAATCCGTTCGGGGGATAGAACAGCGCTGTTCGCGAATGTCATCGATGCTCCATTCACACAGCTTGAAAGTGAACGACAAAGCGGATCTAAGGCTTTGGCAATGTATCCGATTAGTGGCTACGAGTGGTAGCCTATCACTCGCTATACAACACCCATGTACTGCGCTCTGTTGTACGACATCCTATTTTGCATTCTGAGGAAGGAGCGAAACGATCCATTTTAATTATTTCATTTATAATGGTTTTTCTTTCTCAATTGCCACTTCCGTGGCCGCCCTCACTTAACTCTTACGATTAGACTACTGTGGGTACACATGTGTACCACTTCCATAGTCAACGGAACCACCACAATTTTGGAACTTATAGACACAGAAGCGGCCACTTCGCTGGCAGAATTGTGCATAAATAGGAATTTGTAATTTTTGCTTTGACACAGATCAATGGAGTAACCGTAGATAAGCTAAACCTTTGACTATTGTTGGTATTCGTGTGAACCACCCTTAGTCGAAGGGTACTACCACAATTTCGAAACTAATTGGAGAATTGTTTTTTAACCCATTCGCGACCGCGCAGGATTGCGCAATAGCAGCAGCGTCAGAAGATTTTTCTTCAATAAAATCCGAGTGAAGGGAGATTTCCTCTGCCCAGGGCTGGCGTAGATGAGCGAGGGTATGAGGATTCTTTCC